GGGGGGGGGGGGGGGCGCGGAGGTAAATGTCTGTGAGCTAATGATATTAGAGGTGATAATTAGGGAAGCTATCTTTGTAATGGGTAAGGTAATTAGAGTCTTTATTCAAACTTAAGTGTAAAGTGTCGAATTTGAGCATGAATGACAGTTCAGAGGATTCCCTTTCAAGTGTATTCTTAAAAGGCCTTTGAAGCAGGATGCAGGTAATCAAGTCGTTGAGATAATGTCCTTTCTGGTTGAAATGGCAAGAAACTGTTTTTTCTTTGTGATCCTGTCTAATATCTGTTTTGTGGGCATTGATCCTTTGGCGAAGCATCTGAGACGTTTGTCCAATGTACATGGCAGATAGACACTTTTGGCACATGATAGCATAAATTATATTTCTGGATGCGCAGGAATGTGTGTTCTTGATCTTATAACTCACTTGGTTAGGTCCAATAATGGTATCAGCAGAGTGAATATGTAGACAAAGCTGGCAACGGGGTTTGTTGCAAGGGAAGGTACCAGGGTTGGTATTAGTGTGGTATGTCCTATGGTTGTTGGTGAGAGTCATCTTGAGGTTAGGTGGTTGTCTATAGGAGACTATGGGTCTGTCTCTCAGAGCCTCTCGGAGTTTAGTATCTTGTTCTAGTATAGGCTGTAGTTTATTGATAATGTGTTGGACAGGTTTAAGTTCTGACAGAGACCAGAACTTTTATGGCTTGTCTGTAGTGAATACACAACCTCTAGCAACTGCAGAGGTTCTCTCACTGGCATAGATAATCCAATCCTCAAGAGGTTTGGAGACAATCCTCTGCTGACCTAGCACGGTCTACACCAAAAATTGGGTCGGATTAAAGTGAATTTTTCGGTTACCCCATATATAGTATAGGCACAGCTATGCCAGCAAAACTGAGTTTAGCAGTACAGTTTGTTTCACTCACAGAGACAGCTACTAAACAAAGCACAGCTTTGTCAGTATAAGCTGCATTCACACTAAGAGCACTTTGCCAGTTTAGTATACCAGTAGCCTCTACCAGTAAAATGTTGCAATAACTCCAGTATGATAAACTAGCCTAGGCAGCTACTTGATATATTGCACCTGCCTCTGGCAGCCTCTTGCCTCTTTTTTTTTTTTTTTTTAAACAACTGGACAACACATTGATTTTTCAAGATAATCAAATAATGTGAATCTGGGAAAGCTGAGCAAGAAATTTCCCACTCATTAAATTTCTACAGGTCAACCTCAGATAAAATGGCACCTTGGGCAAGCTTGTATTTTGGCACCCCTATCCTCTATGGGCACGTCACCGCCTCCTTTGCTCTAACATCACCCCTGTGGGCTCCCCAACCCCAACACCTCCATTCTGCAATCCAACCCCCGCACTATGCCCACCCCTGTGTTCACACTGGGAAATTGACCTGGATGCTTGGAACATCTGGTACAGCTGCTTACTCCCCCCTCCTCCAATACAACCCGGATTATGAAGGAAGTAGTGAGGTCAGGGCTCCCTGCATCACTGGTCCCTGGTCATTTTAACCAACAGTAGCTTCTGATGCTCACCACACAGCACCACACAGGCGGGATAAATAAACAGTGGGGTCAGTGGCTCTGGCCCTGGGCTGTACCCGGGGAGGGGGGGGTCAGTGGCTCTGGGCTGGGGCGGTACCTGGGGAGGG